GCCACCCTGTGCACTGTAGGCATATACACGCCTCCTAACAAACACCGTCAATACCAACCATACCAAAAGGGCAGACACACCTCTTTCCACCGCCCACAACAATGGCAATTCGACCACAAGAGAAATAAACGTTCACAAAGACGGAGGGCTCCTCAAACTCAATCCACATCTTCACAACCATCTACCACCAAGCCACAATTTTGAAGTCTTGGTCGAGGGTCTGAATGACCTCCCCTTCAATACAGCACTACCAGACACTCCTACCCCACCTTTTGGCCATCACCTGCGCCTGTTTACCATGCTTGGGCAGCAATAACAATGGACCAATTGGTACTGGAGGTTATAAGATAGGGTTATGCTATCCCCTTCCTCGTCTTACCCCCTACCTATCTCCTTCCCTGTCCCTCTTCAGGGACCCTTCTCATGAGCACCTCTTACAACAGGAAGTGAACCATCGCCTACAATTGGGTGCCGTGGAGCAAGTTCCAACTCAATACAAACGGAAGGGTTTTTACTCCCATTATTTTCTCATCAAAAAGAAAAATGGCAGATGGAGGCATATCTTAGATCTTTGGAAACTTAACAAATTTTTGCGGAATCACAGATTCAAAATAGTCACACTGGCCACAATTATTCCAGCGTTAAACAAGGGGGGAGTGGTTTTCATCCCTCGACCTCCAAGATGCTTCCTTTCATATTACCGTACACCCAGCACACAGACGATTTTTAAGATTCACGGTAAGGGTCAACCATTACCAATACAGAGTACTGCCTTTTGGCCTTTCCACTGCCACTTGAGTCTTTTAAAAAACGCTCGCTGTAGTGGTGGCCCACTTATGAAGGAGAGGAGAGATGATCTTCCCGTACCTAGACAATTGTCCACTGAAAGGCACAACTTGGGAAGAAGTGACACATGATGCAGACAACCATCGAGCTGTTCCAGACACTAGGGTTGCAGGTAAATATAAAGAAATCTACACGGACCCTGCTGCAACAACTGGAATTCATTGGGGCCTACCTCGGCTCCACACAGGCCAGGGCGCTGTTGCCCAGTCACAGATTCATGAAAATAACCAACCTCATCTCAACAGTCACTGGCAGCCTCAAATGTCCACCAGAACCTGCCTACAGCAATTAGGTCACATGGCAGTCACGACATTTGTGGCAAGACACACAAGACTGCATATGCGTTGCTTACAGGGCTGGCTGAGCACTGTGTACGCTCCCTGCAAACACAGTCTAAACAAAAGAGTGACAGTACTCTCAAATGTCATTACGTCACTCAAGTGGTGGACGAAACCAGAAAACGTCTGCACGGGGATTCTTTTCCAACAAGATCCTCCATCGCTAATAATCATGACCGACACGTCACTCATAGGCTGGGGCGCTCACTTAGACCAGCACTACATACAAGGCAAGTGGTCACTGATGGAAACTCAGCTCCACATCAATCTCCTGGAGCTCCAAGTGGTATACAACGTGTTCAGGCACTTTCTCCCGATTATATGGAACGAATTAATCTGCATATTGACCAGATTGATTCGTTCTGCACCAAGGCTCTGAAATTGTGGAACTGGTGCATTCACCACAACATAGCCATCTCGGCATCTTACCTCCTGGGGTGTCAGAATACAACAGTAGATACTTCTCTGAGGAACATGAATGGGAAATACACAACAATGTCCTACAATCGATATTCCAAAAATGGGGCTATCGATCTGTAGTCCTGTTTGTGTCAGCAACAAACCACAAGTGCCCGCTTTTCTGCTCCAGGGTGGGACTAGCACCAAGTCACTAGGGGATGCCTTCCTCATCTCATGGGACACATTATTCATATACGCATTCCCGCTGATATCTCTAATCTTGCAAGTCATTCACAAGATATGGACCGACAAGGCCCATATCCTACTGATTGTTCCAACGTGGCCCAGACAGACTTGATTCCCTTACCTGTTGCACCTGGCAGTGTGCGCTCTACGAGCTCTTCACCTGCAGACGGATCCCCTTTCACAGAATGGAGGCCGAACTCTCCACCCAAATCTGGAGAAAGTTCACCTCAAAGCATGGCTTCTGTGTGGTTCCAAGGTGACGAATTAGCCTGTTCAGAACGAGTAAAACATGTATTATTAAATAGCAAGCGATCCACCACTCACAATACCTACCTCCAAAAATGGAAGAGATTCTCACTATGGTGCCAACAAAAACAGGTAAACGCAGTCATGATGCCTCTACCTGCCATACTGGACTACATACTGGAATTCAAAGAATCGGGCTTATCCATAAGCTTAAAGTACATCTAGCAGCCATTACAGCCTTTCACCACAAGGTGGAGGGAACATCAGTCTTTGCTCACCGAATCACAGATGCTTCCTTACTGGTATACAAAACACGTACCCAGAATTCTGACAACCTACACCCCCATGGGACTGGAACTTTATACTCCAATACCTCACCAGAGCACCTTTTCAACCCTTAGCGACCTGTTCCCTCCTTCATATGTCCATGAAGGTGGCGTTTTTTTGTAGCGATTACATCAGCTAGACAGGTCAGCGAAATCAGGGCACTGATGGCGGAGCCCCCTTACACAGTGTTCTCTAAAAACAAGATCACTTTAAGACCACATCCAAAATTTTTGCCCAAAGTATTGGGCAAAATCCTTCCATCCGAACCAACCCATATACCATCCCACATTTTACCCAATACTGCATGGGAACTCACAAGAGGCCATCCTACATACACTCAATGTCAGACGAGCCATAGCGTTTTACTTAGAACCAAACCCTTCCGGAAATCCCCAAGACTATTTATTTCCATAACAGAACGCTCCAAGGGTTGTACAGTATCAACCTAGAGACTATCTAAATGGATCTCTACCTGTATCCATCTCTATCGACTGCATAACAATGAACCCCTACCAGGGATCCGATCCCACTCCTCGTGTGTCATGGCTACATCTATAGCCTTCCTGAACAATGTCCCTCTGATAGACATATGCAGGCCTGTCACATGGGCCTCAGAGCACATCTTTGCAAAACACTATGCTATCACCCAATTCTGTAGGTCAGATACTATATTAGGCCTTACCGTGCTCTCTGCGTCAACATACACAACTCCGAAGCCCCTACCGTCCACGGTGGAGCACTGCTCTACAGTCACCTAAAGTGGAGCACCCACAGGGACACTACTCAAAGAAGAAGAGGAAGTTACTCACCTTGTGCAGTAATGAGGGTTCTTTAAGATGTGTGCCCCTGTGGGTGCTCCACTAACCACCCTCCTCCCCTCTATTTTGGAGTTCATGCCTCGAGTTCTGTGGTGGAGCAGGAACTGAATGGGTCAGGTCATGCGCGTGCTACATGAGACACCACCAACGGCATCGCGAGACAACTACTACGCGCACGCACCCCGACCGAGCACTGCTACCGAAAATATCCGATCTGCAGCACAGGGACGCACCGACACCTAAAGTGGCGCACCCACCGGGGGACACATCTCGAAGAACCCTCGTTACTGCAAAAGGTGAGTAACTTCCTCTTTTCCTTTCATTCTGAGGTGCCAAGGGCCTAGAGAATCCAGGCTCTCCTTTACTAGATGTATCTGACTATGCATTGTTGAGACATAAAAGCCATTCGGTGCATCTGTTCCAAAAGGAATCAAGGTGCATTCTGTAAGATCTGTGGTAACCTCATTGGCCAAATGAGCTTGCCCTTCCACCCCAGAGATCTGCAGAGCAGCTACTTGATCACTGACTAACACCTCGATTGGATGCTATAAGATGGACTTTCGGTCTCTGCAGAGACCTCCTTTGGCAGGATGGTACTGCAGGCAATGGTCCAGTCATAACCTGGCCATTTGAGTAGTTCAAAAGGGAGTGTGTGTGTCTTTCCTATTTCTTATGTTCACTTTTGTATCCCTTCCTACTCCTGTTCACTCAGTGTTGCTTCCCATACACATCAGACTTCTGGAAGACACTGGGCTACAGAATGGAAAATTTCTTTCTTGATAATTCCCTTTCTGCTAGCAATGGGTAAAAATTTTTCCATTCTTATCCCTAGCATAGCATGATTATAGTGTGTGTGTGTGTGTGTGTGTGTGTGTGTGTGTATGTATTTTAGCACTGAGTCTGTTATTTGTGCGCTATAGTTAAAGTGTAAAATGTGTATATGTAGTTAAGTTGAATACAAATATACAGGAAGACTTTAAAACCAGATAACTTGAAGGGTGTTTTTTGTTACAATAACCAGCACTCAGTTGATGCCCCTGCATGCAAAAACCTTGAAAGGTCAGTGGAACCTCACAAGATTCCCCTTGTGGAGTTTCTACCTCATCATTTGATTGTTATATGGAGTAGAATTCCCCACCACCATTGTGAGGAGAGAATCTTCAAAAAAACTGTTACATTATAGTAAATAATATGTTATCTTTACAATAGATTCCCTGTGTGGCTTTTTTCCCCCAGCAGGGATGGGGTGAGTTTATGTATAATAGACCTACCCCCTCCCCTTTACATAGTCAGGGGACAGCTGTGCCTAGTTTATGGGGGGCAATTTGGGTCATGCACTGATCTAAATAAATGCAGATTGAGATGTTTGTTAGCCTATCATGCAACTATTGCAAACATAAATTAGCAATCTAAAGTATTGTCTGATAAGTGTTTGAAATGTAGTTGGGTTAAAGACTATTTAATATGAAGGAAATCCTGAGAAGCTGAGATGTTCATGTTCATTGCGAGCATATGGATGTTCTAAAGGCAACAGCCAATCACAGTAGAAATTGTATACTTCAATTATTACACTATTGTATAGTTGTGAGTAACTGTATGGTATCACTGCCCTCAGATGATTTTTTTAGCATAATCTAGCATCTACAGGATCTCCACATAATCTTATTTAGGATATTGCATTATATGTGTATCTAATTTGCTGATCCTTTTATATAAAGTGATAATTCTACTCTTTGCATGTTACAGCATAGATATTGATAATTGAATTTAATTTATTCAGGAACCGCAAGCATTGTATGATGAAATAAAAATTATTCCAATCTCAAAACTTGACAGAGCAATGTCTGAAAAAGTTGTTAAAAAATACATTGAAGATGAAATGGCAAGGTAAGATCTCTTTTTTGTAATGAAGAGCTTTTACTTGCTAAGACCCTACTCTCTAGGTTTTTGTATTTCTTCCAAAATCATTAAAATCACTAATATATAGAATGTAGCTCCATTACTCCTGATAATCTCATCAGCTGCTGTAGTAGAAACAAAAATTTCTGAATTCTGAGCATAGCATGAAAATAAGAAATGGAGGGAATGACTTTCAAAAACCTGCTTTCTAAATGTGCTTATGTATAAACTTCTGCTAAAAATCAAGTGTACTGTTTCTTACTTACAGAAAAAAAAATATCTTGTTTCTTTGTTAGACTTCCTGATAGATTGTCAGTAACATGGCCTGAAGGAGATGAGCTGTTACCAAATGAGATCAAGCTTGCTGGTACACCAATAGGTATGTTTCTTTCCAGGTACTATTTTAATTTAATGTGGTGTTTTTTTTTTTTTTTTTTGCATATTATTCATTATAACTTTAAAAGAAAACCTCTCGGGAACAAGAACAAACAAATTTTGTACATTGCTTGTTTTAAAAATTAGTCACTTTTTTGTACCCTTTTATACAGGAGCATTAAGAATTGAAATATTGAATAAGAAAGGAGAGGCAATGCAAAAACTTCCAGGTACAAGCCATGGAGGGTCAAAGAAACTGCTTGTTGAACTAAAGGTTATTTTGCACTGTAAGTACACAACCTTGAAAAATTAACAAATTATTTCTTTGTAGACTAATAAAGCAAGTTGTCTATATATAGCTAGTTTAGAATTTGATACCCCCATATAAATTTAAGATAAGGATGAAATCTTGTCAGAACTGCACAATGATTCTCCAAAACTAGGTAAGCTATACATTTTAAGGAACTGACAGATGCCATCATGCCAAATGTTTAATGACCTGATATTTTAAGTATGGCTCTTTAAATCCTCCATTATCTATGTGGATGTGATATGGATTTCAGGTCATATGGCCTTAGAGTGTGAGAATAGTAAGGAGTAGTAAATGTTATCTTTAACCTTCTTCGTATGTGTAACTAATAAGGTAGGTATGTGGGAACGCAAGGCTTACAGTTCACTCATGGACTTCTGGACTCGTCTATTATATAATGCCTATTGATTTATGACAGTTAAAATCCATTTAATAAATAAGTGACAGAAGAAACTGGAAGCTACTTATACAAAAAGATTAAAGAGTGGTTGTTTGTTTAATGTTTTGCAAAAAAAAATCTAGAGATCCCAATCAGGATCAGGGTCCCATTGTGCTAGGGGCTGTACATATACATGTACACACTGATGGTCTCTGGCCCAAGAGTTGAGACATTTTCTAGCAGGATGCAGTGTATTGAAGGACATGCCACATCTCTTTAACTCATGCCATGAAATTTTGCAATACACAGTATCTGATTAATGTGTGTTTGAAAGTGTAACAGAATATGAGTATTTCAGCCTCTGTAAATCATTCTTGAGCATACATGTGATATGATGAATGGCTTTAGCATTCTGGTGAGGAACAATTGCTGTAATGATCTAGGAAGACATTCTTTACCGGGCATGAAGAACATGGTATATGGCAGACACAAAAATGTCTGACACATGGATTTAATATCGCCATGTCTTGTAGAAGTGTGCCCTGGAAAATTTGTCCACAGCTGGAACCTTAAAAATCAAGTTTTGCCAGCTTGGTTACATGGTAAGAGCCACCAAAATTTGTAAGTTATTTCATTGGATAGTAAAAAGAGCAAAATTTGTTTCCAAATCTTGCCTATATTATAGAGTTGAACTGGTGGGATTGCATAGGTGTAAACACCACCAGTGCAATACATTCACACTAGCCAGAGTTTTTCATGTTCAAAAATTATGGTTTTGCCTCATTCCCCACTAATACTGTTTTACACAACTGCAGATATGCTACTCTCTGGGTAGGTATCCCATAGTTCTTAGCACAGCTCCCAGAGGCACTGTGTGTGTGTCTGTCTGTCTGTCTACGTATACACACACACACACACACAATCTCCCCTCTCATACTGTTTAAATATGAGTATATAGTACTATAGTAAATGAAACAAGGAATTTACGCTACTGTGGCTCTCTTGGGTAATGTTGATTTCTAATTTGGCTCCTGAGCCACTGTTTTAAATGGTCTTCTGGAATACCTCTGGGAAGCCAAGAGAACTGAGAGAGAAGAGCTCAAGCTCCTGTGAGTTACTTGTTACTAGCACCATTTCCAAACCATTTTCTTAAATATGGGACTCCACAATGAATACTCAACTTAAGCTCTTTGTCCAGCAATAAAGATTTTTGCTGGAACTTTTGAAGAGTCATTGTTAAGTATTTGAAATAGCTGCAGTGAAACTGTCATGAGTACGAGATCACTTCACTAAGGTCATCAAGCACCAGTAAAGCACCCTGCCACCAGCTGAGTATTCCGTATATATTGAATTCTGTATCTGTGGATTAAATGCACCAGGTGGAGCACCTCTTTTGGGTCCAGACATTGACCACAGACTGAGTTGTCCTGGAGTTCTGGGATGAGCTGCAGTGGCTTCAGGATGAAGATGGAGACTTTCTGTAATTCTCTGCACATTCACGATCATGCATAAATAACTTAATTGTCTGGTAACACAGTGCCCCACCTGGGCAAAGTGTTGCAACTACCATTGATCCCTGAGGCAAGAGGCTTGCCTCATAGTAGATACTGAATGTTCCTCATAGAGGACCACGAAGACAGGACAGATTCCAGAGCGCTTATTGGTTTCCAGTCTCACTGTCCGTCTCTACAGCTCCAGAGCTTAGGTCTGATATCCTTTCTCAGCCATGCTGCCTGGAATCATGAAGGCTTTTACAGTGGTGGGAAAGGCCTCCATTTCTTGCTTCCATTCTAGGCCTTTCTATCAGAGACTCAGTCTCAACAGAAGAGCCAGAGTTTATTGCCACAAATCTTAGCATTGACGCCTTGTCAAGATCTTCATAGACCCAACATTTGTTCCATTTCTAGACTATGGAATTACTATGCTCGGTGGTGTTTAGGTGAAGTTTTCCCACTGAACTTCTCTTTTTGAATATATTACTCCTGGGGGAATTTTGCCCCTCAGAATTAAAAATTCTGCAAAATTCTACATATTTTGTCAAAATAACACAATATAATCACACAAGTCTCAATTATTTTGTTAATGTATTTCAAAATATCTGTCAGCAAGTATGTCTGTAACAATACAGACAAGAAAAAAGATTCAGGAAATGTTTTTTGACAAATAGATTCATTACTAGGCATATTAATACAGAACTTTGAGTAATAATTCATTTAAACTATAATACAGACACACATTTTCTGCACCCCTCAGAAGCAGTGCAAAAGCTTGCAGGAGTCAGGGGTAATGGAGGAGCTGAGGGAGAAGGAAGTAATTGCTGGGAAGGAGCCTAGGTGTGAACTTAGAGGTTGTTGGGTGTGGGTGAGAGAAGTATGGAACAAGTTTTTTTTAGGGTGGATTATTAGGGAGCCTCCCCCATGCAAACCTTGGCTAATGCTAGCCTCCCTCATTCAGTCAGGCACATCTGCCCCTGTCTCCATGTGTCCCTGCACCTCCCCATCCACATGTGTCCCTGCACCCCCGCTCCCATTCAGCCCCCGCCCCAGTCTGCCCTCCCCCCCCTTTTCCTTCTGAACCCTGGTCTGTGACCTCTCCCCCCACCCCCCAAGCAGCCCCATGTGCCCTACACTATCTGTCCCCTCATATCCCGTGCCTTCTGACCTGGCCCCCCGGGCAGGGTACTGTGAGGAATGCAGCCTCTTCTCTTCCCTGTCCACAGCTAGGATGCTCCCACCTTGAGCGGCTGCTCTCTGTTCTGGTGCCCCAGCAGCCCCTGGTGGGCAAAAGGTGTAACTATAGCACTTCTCAGCAGAATGTATTTTCTGCTGAGGAAAAAATAATTCTGCGTGGCACATGAATTCTGCATGTATGCAGTGGTGCAGAATTCTCCCAGGAGTAGTATATTCAGCACTCTGCAAGCAGCATCTGCACTGATTCCTGCATTTTCTAGTCTTAGCTTAAATTTATGCTTCAATAATTTCTTCAAAGCACTGACAAGTAGTCCATTGAGGTGAAGTAGTCTCAAGGTGGTACTTGCCAAGGCACAAGTGTGCTCCACACCAAGGGGGACAGTATGCTGAGGCAAAATGTGCTAAAACACAGAGCACCAGGGTATTGATGCAGGAGTGGCACTGTCACAAGAAGTATTTTAAAGCACTGGGCAAAGTTTTTGAGGTACCAGAAAGAACTGCACAAAAAAATGTGTTGGAGCACTGTGCTGAGGCAGCATAGTGACTCTAGAGGTCTTGGAGCACTGAAACCTGGGGAACAGTCAGACAATGAATTTAGACAGAAACTGGCAAAAAAATTAGGCTGTAGTAGCAATGAGTAAGTCTTAAGTTTCAATAATCAGGAGATGGATTGCTGGTAAGGGAGATTGTCCCGCTGTTATGAAGATGGGACTGGTACAGAATGTGTGAGCAGTGGTATTATATGAGGGGCTGATAGCATCACATGTTGTTAAGGTTGCATGACACTTCCCAGTAAAAGACTCTGATCTCAGTTGCTTATAAATTTGCCAAACTTTAACTATTTGGACTGGAAGTTTCCAAACTAGTTATCTGCCTCGGGCTGAATTGTTTTTATTTTTTTATTTTTGACAAAATTTCAGCAAATGCAGCTCAGCCATTTCCAAGAACAGGGCCAGAGAAGAATAAATTTTGCCTCAGTTTAAAAAAGAAAATCTGGCAACTTTTTCTTTGAGAAGCACTAGTGCTGCTATGCTTTGGATCAGGGACTTGAAATTTGGCAAGGCGGTGACTTTGCTGCCCCCAGGAAAATCCACCCGAATTTGGCCAAGTTATAAGCCTTTGAAAAATTTCAGTTGGCACAAACTCAGGCTTACTAGAGCTTTGCAGCTAAATTCCCTGAAGCATGCTCCAGCCCAGGGCTGTAGGGGGCAGAGCAGAACTTTCCTTGCAATTATGGCTCTGGGCCCAGGGGTGCTATGGGCTGAGCACGGAAGCTAAGAGCAAAGAAACTCTGTGTTCTCAGCAAACCCCCCCTGCTGGTGCCCAATCAGCATGGAAGAGGAAGCTGCCTGATTCGAATGCATTGGGGAATAGAGCTGGTTGAAGGTGCAGGAGACTGGGACTGGAGGCTGGCAGGGGATTGGGGAGAGTGGAACTGGGAGTGTGAGCTCTGAAGGGAAATGGGGTGGGGTGGGACAGAGACTGAGGTTGAATCAGGAACTGGGAGAACACTGGGACAAGGAGCTGGGGGTATGTGATGCACTGAGATTAGAGGAGGAGCCTGGGAGGGAGACTGGAATGGGGAGACATTGGGCATGGGGAACTTGGGCAAGGGAAAGGAGGATGAGTGGGGAGAGACAAATTGGATGAGGAGCTGAGAAGGGGGAAACTGGGGCTGGCCGGGCAAGGAGAGTGAAACTGGAATGGGAAGTGGAGACTGGGACTGGGGCACAAGGATCTGGGAGTGGGGTAGAGAAGAACTGGGGCAGGGACAGTTGGGAGGGTATCGGGCAGAAAGGAGCCAAGTTTGGGGGACAATGGACAGAAGAGTCTGTGTTCTCTACAGCATGGTCTTTCCAAGGCCTGTAATCAAACCCAAAGTGCCGGAATCTCTCAATTCTTCTGCTG